TTTTGCTAGAAATCCACAATTTCTTTGCATGTTTAGAGATTAGGACAGGTGCCTTCCTGGCTAGTACCCCCTAGACCCATCCTCTCTCCCTCTTTACCTTGTTGTCTCTCTCTGTTTCACCCCAACACACACACACACACACACACACACACACACACACACACGTGAACCTGCTGGACTCCAGCCAATGCAAAACACAGCCTCTCCTGCTCTCCTGCTTGGTCTGCAAACCCAAATGCAGCTCTCCAGGAAGGCCAACAGGGCCCGTGTGGGAGGGCTCCCGTCTCCAGACAGCAGGGGCCTCCAGAGCCCTCTCCACATGTAGCGCGGCCCTATTGGGGAGCAGTGTTGCCCTGGCATCCCACGAGCCTCACATTGCCTAGTCACTGACACCCAGGGGACCACATACAGCAGGAGAGAGAATCGAGAGCTTCTGTCTCTGGGCAAGCAAAGCCTCCGCCCCGTGCTGTTGGCCTGTGGCTCCTGCCTCCTCCGGGGTCTGGGCCGCGGGCCGCGCGTCTGCTCAGCCAGCCACCGAGCACGATGAAGGTCAAGGAGGGTGCGGGTTCCCTCAGAAGGCTCTGTCAGAGGCCACCGGGCTCACCGGGTCCTGGATTCTGTGCCCCGGCATGATAGTCCCTGCTCCTTTTATCCTGAACCACCCCCAGTCCAGGCATCAGGCCACTTTATTTTGAAATGGTAAACCCTGGGGACACCTCCCTTTGGCTCAGGTCATGATCCCGGGGTCCTGGGATCGAGTCCGCATCAGGCTCCCTGCTTCTCCCTCTGCCTATGTCTCTGCCTCTCTCTCTCTGTGTCTCTCATGAATAAATAAGTAAAATCTTTAAATAAAAAAATAATAAAATAAAATAAGATGTAAACCCTGAAGGTGGAGAGTCCAGAAGGAAAGAAGTGTCTAAAGCAAACAACTGGAGAAGCAGCTTGGGAACCTCTGTGAAGGACTCCGAGGCTGGTGTAAGGAGAATTCTGTGCAAAGGCCCTGAGGTCTGAGCCCAGGAAGCCCAGGGAGGACATAAGGCAGCGAGGGAGGGGGTGTTGAGCCAGGAACTTCACTTTCTCTCCCTCCTCCATATAATGATTTCCAAAAGGTCCTAAAGAAAGTGAGAGCAGCTGTTTTGCCCCCGGCCACCATCTGCTGGTGATAAATATTTTATGAACCTCAGGCATTTGAGAGGTGGCTCTGAAGTTACATTAGAAGCAGAAGTGGCTGTGGCTCCCAAAAGGTAGGATGACTCCACCCCTAGTCCCACCTGGGGGCACAGGACGCAATCCCCAGGGAGTCTTTGCTTTTAACCCACCTCCAGCTCACAGGTGACTCAGGAGACCTGGACTCCCTACCTGGAGCCTGCAGGGTGCAAAGTGCCCCGGGGGCACTCAGACTGCTTACCAGGAGTTTCTAGAGTTTTCCACGAGTCCTCCCTACCAACAGGATTTTGGAAGGCCCCACAAAATACCATGCGCACAGGTGGCTGGTGACAGCAGCAGTTGCAGTGACTCTACATACAGCTCTGCGTACAGACAGGCAGGCTGCGTGCTGGAGATCTCTGATGTGAGACTGAAACCCCTAAGGCAGCGAGGAGATAAAAATCTCCAGTGGGGCACCTGGGTGGTGCTGGTTGGGTGCGAAACTCTTGGTTTCGGCTCAGGTTGTGATCTCGGAGTCGGAGTCGTGAGATCCAGCCCCGTGCTGGGCTCCCCAGCGGAGCAGGGAGTCTGCGTGAGATCCTCACTGCCTCTCCCTCCACCCCTCCCCACCCCTGATACAGCAATAAATATTTTTTTATTTAAATCTTCAATAAATGGGACGCCTGGGTGGCTCAACAGTTGAGCATCTGCCTTCGGCCCAGGACGTGATCCCGGGATCGAGTCCCACATCGGGTTCCCTGCATGGAGCCTGCTTCTCCCTCTGCCTGTGTCTCTGCCTCTCTCTCTGTGTCTCTCATGAATAAATAAATAAAAATCTTTAAAAATCAATCAATCTTCAATAAATAGCAACCAAAGGTCTCAAAAACCAGATCTCAGAGGCTATTTGGTGGCACCCCCCCTGACTACCTAAGGACACCTCATCTGATTCCCCACCAAGAACGGGTCTGCCTGTGGAGCCCCCTGGCTTCCAGACCTTTCCCTGCCTCTTGCTAAGGAACCGTCCCAGTGATGCAGCAGGTGGACCCCAGCTCCTCTCCCTCCCCTGCCCTCCCCCCTCCATCCCTCCTTGATGTCTCTCTCTCCTTCCTTCCCTCCCTCCCTTTATCTTTCCTTCCCTCCCGCTGGATACTCTGGCTCTTTCTCACACCTGGCCCATCCGTGACTTCACCCCCAGTCTAAACACGGTTCCAGAGATGCCAGAGTCCTCCTCAGCCTTTCACCACCGAGGTCCATGAAAAGCACCACCCAGGGGCCTCCTTCCTGCCCCTACCCCCCTGCCTTCCGCTCCCCTGGCTGAAGGGGAGCCCCATGTCATCGCACCCCGTGCGTTCCTAGTGCTTTCAGGCTTGAAGACGGCCCTGACCAGAACCCCACGACGTGGACAGGGGGTTCAGGACGACTCCACCCATTCCTGGCCTCTCCTCTGCTCCCATGCACCCCCTCCCATGGCTTCAAATACCACCTACAGGAGGAACATCCCCAAGTCTACACCTGTGTCCCCAGGCTACCACCCTATGGCTCCTTCCCCCTTCTGTGGGTGACTGATAGACAGCTCGAGCTCACCACGCTCCAAGCCAAGCACCCGGTCTTCCCACCCGCCTCCCCACCAGCAGTCTCCACTCAGATCGCCAAAACGCCACCCCTCCAACTGCGCGGGCTTTGACGTCTCTTGGCTTGGCAGGCCGCCGCACGAGCCTGGGTGCTGCCGGGCCGGGGGGGGGGGTGTCTCACGTCTTGCACAGGAATCCCCCCCCATCATTTTCTCCACCTCCCTCCTGCTACCGTTGCCCCCCACCAATTCCATCCCTGACACTACAGCCAAAGAGTGATCCCCTTACTATGTAAATCAGGCCGTGTCACTCCTCCCTCGAAACCCTGCAGTGGCTCCCGTTTGACCTCAAATATAAGTCAGTCACACCCTGTTCTATTAGGCCCCAGGTGACACCCCAGCCTCTCTGGCCTCTTTGCTGTTCCCTGAACCCCGCCCCCCAGGCACACTGACTGACCCTTCTCACTAGAATGTTCCCCGCCCCCATAGCCACATGCCTCCCCCGCTCCCCTCCTTCCACTTTGTTTAAACATCAGTTCCTCCAAGAGGCCTGCCCTAACCAATGTGCTCCCCTGCCCATGCTCTGTCCCTTCTATTTCCTACACAATCATTTATCATCCAGTTTACTGTTATGTTTGCTGCTTTCCCCCCCACCCACCCACCCACTGGAATAAAAGCCCCACAGGAAGAGGATCATTGCCTACAGCACAAGGGCTTAGAACAGCTCCTGGCACATAGCAGATGCTCAATAAATATTTTCTGAAAGATGAAATATTGCTTCCCAAGGTCACAGGGCTCTGAATGGTACAGAGGAGGCTGGAATCCTGGCCTGCAGACTCACAGACAAGCTCTTAACATTTCTTAGCTATTTAAGTTTATGAAGGTGGGGCTCATAGTCTCACGGGAGGGACCAGGCAATAAGCACATACATTTATGTCAAGTGATGCTCAGGGCTCGGAAGGAATAGATGGTGAATAAGAGAGAGACTGGGCGCAGGGGGTGAGGCCACTGTTTTAAAAGGGGCTATTGATTTCGAGCAGAGACTTGAAGAAAGGGAGGGAGTTACCCATATAGGTCAAGTGGAGGAAGAACATTCTAAGCAGGCAGGGCAGGAAGTGCAAAGGTGCTGAGACAGGAGGGTGCTTGGTGCATGTGAGGCCCCAAGGGAAGGCCAGTGTGGCTGAAGGATGAACGATGTCACCTGATGGTGCTGACTTTAAAATCTAAACCTGCTGTAACAACCCTCACGTGGAAGCCGCCCAGAAGTCCACCAACAGTAGAACAGGGGCAGCCCGGGTAGCTCAGAGGTTTAGCGCCGCCTTCAGTCCAGGGTGTGATCCTGGAACCCCGGGATGGAGTCCCACGTCAGGCTCCATGCATGGAGCCTGCTTCTCCCTCTGCCTGTGTCTCTGCCTCTCTCTCTGTGTGTCTCTCAAGAATAAATAAATAAAATCTTTAAAAACAAACACTAGAACAGGTGAACAATATAGAGACCCCACAGAGCAGTGAGAATCACGAGGTAAGCTACATGCCGCCACCTGGATGGATCTCACCTAGTTTGATGTCATTCGGGTACAGTTTAAAAGCAGGCAAAACTAAAATACATTTGCAAGGTGCACACCAAGATGATAAAGCTACAAAGAACAGCCAGGAAACCACTACCACGAAAGGGGAGATACAATCAGGGGTGCAGGATACAGGGCTGCCCATACCGATCTCTTGCCCCGGGGGGTGGTTACAAGAATACTCACTCTATAGTTGTTTATACTGTACATATTTTTACATTTTTTTTAGCTTCTGCTATCACATATACAAGCCTGAATTTCTTCAAGTTAAGAAAAAAAGTAATTAGTAAGGGGAATTCAGTAAACTCTTACCACCTTGCCGGCAGTAGGGCGGTACTTCAGATGCACACACTGTCCTGCCAAATTTATTCCCTTAAAAAAAGCCCCAAAAGAACAGAGTGCACAGTATATAACTGGCACAAAACAAATACACATCAAGCAGGCTAGAAACGACTTCGATCACTCACAAAACAGTTTACCCAGCACTGAAGCACAATTTACTTTTTAAACAAAGGTGTAGTGATAAGATCACTTCAAGATATCTAGAGAACAGAAAGCTTCCAGAAAGCCTCCATCACGTGATGCATGAGAGACCGAAACTTCCATCTTCTCAGGAATTTCCAAAGTCTCTGAGGCTGACTCATGCAACTCGCAAAAGGGAAAGGGGGTTTGCTGGAGGTTGCCTACGAAGGGAACCTTTAACAAGCCATCCTCGGGACACCTGGGTGGCTCAGCGGTTGAGCATCTGCCTTGGACTCAGGGTGTGATCCTGGGGTCCCCGGATCAGGTCCCACATCAGGCTCCCTGCGGGGTGCCTGCTTCTCCCTCTGCCTGTGTCTCTGCCTCTCTGTGTGTGTGTGTCTCTTGTGAACAAATGGATAAAATCTTTAAAAACAAAAAATGAGCCATCCTTATGGGAACCTCGACTGGGTGACTCCTTGGGAAAGCGTTTACCTCCTACTCATTGGACCTGAGGCCCCTTCTGGGAACTGGGCCCTTGACCCACGCCTCTCTCTTCCCCCATCTTTCAAGAAGGTAAGAAGTCCATCCAGGCTTTGCAATGGATTCTTCGAGCAAGCCTGGAGCCCCTCCTTGCAGTGGGGATGGTCTATGCCTCGAGCAAGCCTGGAGCCCCTCCCTGCAGTGGGGATGGTCTATGCCTCAGCAGGCACTTCCTCTGAATCACCATCTGGCCAGGCCTCCAGGCCTTGCACCTGCAGGTTCTGCAGGGAGTCGTGGCTGAGCTGTGTTAGCTCGGGGAGCCCTGCCCACACTCTGGGAAAAGAATCCGGCCATCTGGGCCCCGGTCTGAGAGATCTCACTGGCACGAACACTTCAGCCAACGTTTCTTTAAGCCCTTCCAAGGGCAGAAGACAATTTATTCAGCTCCGAGGTCATGTGAGTCCATGCTGTGCGATGGAAAGCACACATGTAAAGGATCACTGTCCCTCCGGGGCTGGTGGTGATGGCCTTTCGAGTGTCTTAAACCCACCACCTTTCTTTCCCACAGGCACCTGCTTTCAGCAGCCCCAATACCGAAAAATGGGCCCAGGGGTTCTCGACCATAACTCGGGGCAAGTCTCAACTGCAAACACAATCTCTCGCACGTACCACCTAAGCAGCTAGTCACACGTCTCGCTGTGTGCTAGGCAGCCCCTGCTCTTCCTACGGCGCTGAAACATAAAAGGGTTTGAGTCCCAGCTCAGCCAGGTATGCCTCTGCGCCAGCTCCTGAAGCTCTAGGGCCTCGGTTTCTTCAACCATCGAGTCAGGATGACAGGCACGACAGTTGAGCCCCATCACCCCCATATTTGCACATTTACCCACTTACTAAAGTTTATCTGGCACCCCAAACCGATACTGGTGGTGCCTTCGCAGCACTCTAGGGGCACGTCCCCGGCTAGGGTCCAACAAGACGATGCTCTGATTTCTCACATCAGCTCTCACGATGTAGACAAGCGTCCTTGTCGTGGTATCTTTAGTGCCACTTTTTTTTTTCATTTTCGTGCTTTTTATTGGTGATTTTGCTGTTTAGGACGGCCCCCAAGCATAGTGCAAAAGTCCTAAAACACATGTTAGATAAGCCTCGTTCGGGAGTCAGTGATGGTGCTGTTGGCCGGGAGCTCAACGTGAATGAATCAACAACATCCAGACAACAAGGTGTTTTGAAGCAGAAACACACAACATAAGATCCATAGTGAGCAGCTGACCAATCGACCGGCAGGACCCTGACCCTGGATTTTCCCGGATTTGGGAGAAATGGTTCGGCAGCCTATCATGCTGCACCTGCAGGGACTATAGAACAAGGCTGCCATGCGTGGCAGGAACTGCGTGTGCCTCCAGGGTCATGGCCAAGAAGTGGATCCAAAGACGGTACCAAGCCCGCTTCGGCCCCAAGCAGGACCCCTGGAGGTGGGCCCCAAGCAGGAACCCCAGGAGGTGGGCCCCAAGCAGGAGCTCCAGGAGGTGGGCCCCAAGCAGGACCCCCTGGAGGTGGGCCCCAAGCAGGACCCCCTGGAGGTGGGGGAGCTGCCCGGGAAAGGCTCCCGACCCGGCCCCTGCGCCCTGGGCTGGTACTGCAGCAGGAGGCACGCACGCTGTGCCCTCAGAGGCCCGGGAAATTCCAGCCTGCCGCCCCCCCTCGAGGCCCGGTTCCATTCCTTCTCGGAATCACGACCCCCCAGGGCCACGTGCGATTTTGTTTGTTTTATTTCCCCCTCCGGGAACTCCAGGCACCGTGGCAGGAGGGACGGCCGGCTGCTCCCGGGGCACTGGCCGCAGATCCACAGGGGCCTAAGTTCTGTGCAGGGACCGGAGGCTCGGGGGGCCCTGGGTGGGCTCAGGGGGGATCCCGAGCGCGGGCTCCCTGCGAGGAGCAGGCTTCTCCCTCTTCGTCTCTGCATCTCTGTGTCTCTTATGAATAAATAAAGTAAAATCTTAAAAAAAAAAAAAAAAGACCAGAGGCTCAGGGAGGGGGTGCATGGAGAAGAGCCGGGAGCTAAGCAGTGTGGACACTCACGACACGGTTCACGAGGTGGCTTGACAGCCACGGACCAAAACTGAGCCACAGAGTAATTCTCTCCCTTTGTCCTTGGGCTTGTCAGTAACAGGACGGGCGCAGGGCTTACCTGTTCTCTGATAAAACTCGGAGATCCGAGTAGGTAAACACTAAAGCCTAAGACTGTACTTCCCGGAAACACTTCAGAGGGCCCCTGGGAACTAGGCCTCAGTGTGTGGCATTTGCATGGCACTTCCTTCACATGGCCCTCCGGACCTCGATGGCTGTCCGTCCGGGATGTCACAGGGCAGTGGACTCTGGCACCTGACCACTTGGACATCGCCCTGCTCAAAGGCTGATGGTAGCTGTGCCTCCAGAATCATATCAGTTCCAGGGCCACAACTCATGTTGGGGGGAGGCGGGGGGGTGGTTTATAAGTTTTATAAGGCAAGAGCACACCTTCACCATGGATGGAAGGAAGCCATGCTATAAAATCGAAAAAAATCCCAAAGCTCTGAACTCAGACATTTTCCCAAAGGTACCCTATAGTGGGTTGAATAGTGCCCCCCCCCCCAAAAAAAAGACATGCCCAAATCCCAACCCTGGGTTCCTGTGAATGTGACTTTCATCAGAAACAGGGGCTTTGCTGATGTGATTAAGGATCTTGAGAGGAGATCAGAGATCAAGCTGGATTTACGATGGACCCGAAATGCAATGATTGGTGTCCTTACAAGAGCAAAGAGAGGGGTATTTGAGACAGAGGAGGAGAAGCACATGGAAGAAAACAGAGGCAGAGACCAGAAGTGGCCGGCCAGAAGCCAAGGACACCACCAGCCACCAGAAGCTGGAACCTGCAAGAAGCAATTGTCCCTAGAGTCCTCCTGGCTTCCAGCACCGTGAGAACACATTTCTGTTGGTTTAAGCTACGAGATTCGTGGTAATGCATCGTGCCAGCCCTAGGAAACCATGATACACACCCCATTCGTTTCTTTTAATTAGTAGCATGAAATCTTGAGCCAAAAAGTCATTCACTACTTTACAAATGACCAAAGCCATTACATCCCAAAACAATCCATGTGTCCTCAGAGCACACATGGTTTGTTGTGGTTTGATCACCATTTATTTTAGGCACAGAGGCAGGGTAGAGAAGAACGGCGTGCAGAACCTCAAACCTTCCAAGATGATTAAAAGAAGAGCCTTCTAGGACTCTGTCCTAAAGTTGGAGTGAAGGCGAGAAAACTGAGACTGAACCAAACCTCTGGCTGTCCTTGGGCCTGAAACCTGGAGTTAAGGTCAGGCCCCAGGTCCTTTCTCCAGACCTGTTTTTAAGCTGCCTGGCATGAGAGATGACTGCTCACCTATTTGCTGCTGAAACAGCCCTGGGCAGCTAAGGAGCTGGACAAGCAGCTGTGATTCACACGCCCTGGGCCTTCAGGTTCCTTCCCTGGACCCCGACGGTCTCCCTGCTCCTAGAGTCCAAGGCAGACGAGTTCAGCTGACACAAGGCCATAGGCAGAGGACAACTTGTGTCAAGCCTGAAACAGCCCTGCAAGATCCACTTCTAAGTCTGATTTCCCAGGCCGCCTGCCTGGCTGGCTCAGTCCATTGAGTGTCCAACTCTTGATCTCGGCTTAGGTCATGATCTCAGGGTTGTGAGATTGAGCCCTGAATCAGGCTTTGCCCTCAGCAAGAAGTCTGCTTGAGGATTCTCTCTCCCTCTCCTTCTGTCCTTCCCCTTGTTGGCATGTGCACGCTCTCTCTTTTCAAACAAATAAATGAATCCTTTTTAGGGGCACCTGGATGGCTCAGTGGTTGAGTGTCCACCTTTGGCTCAGGTCATGATCCCAGGGTCCTGGGATCGAGTCCCATATCGAGCTCCCCGCAGGGAGCCTGCTTCTCCCTCTGCCTGTGTCTCTGCCTCTCTCTCTGTGTCTCTCATGAATAAGTAAAATCTTAAAAAAAAATTTTTTTTTGTTGATTTCCCCATTTTGTAGAAGAAAAAAAAAAACTAAAGTTTGAGGAAAGTAAGAGAGGTCCTCCTCCAAATCCCACAGTTAGTTAATAACTGAAACTAGGACTCAGGTCTCCTACGTCCCACTGGGCTTGGGTCATGGGTCCAGGTTGCTTCCACTTCTAGGTAAAAGAACTACACCCATGAAGGACATGGAAGAAGGGAAGGAATAAGGGGCCAAGACACACGGGAGCTAAGGCTACTGATATCCACCTATTTCTCGTCCATAAATACTACAAGTTACTTTTGGAAAATATTTGGTAGTTTTCCAAATCTTCTATAGTGCCAGGCATGAACTTGGAAGCCTGATAGACATGGATTCAAATTCTGGCGCTCCAACTTACCAAATGTGACTTTGAATCCATTTAAACTCTCTAAGCCTTGAGTTCCTCCTTTATAAAATGGAGATAAATAACACCTATTTCATCCAGTCCTAGGGATGACTAATGACAAAAGATATGCAAAGAAACCTCATTGGTGCAATGACATCCGCCCAGGATTCATCATTTCTATAAAGTTAAGAATGAAGGTGGATGCAGTCATGAGAGACACATGGGGAGAGGCTTCAATTCTATGACTGTTTTCTTAAGGTGGACGGGTATACGTGTGTTGGCTCTACTAGTCTTTTTAGCATTTTGTTTTATTTTTTTTTAATTTTTAAAGGATTTATTTATTTATTTATTTATTTGACAGAGAGAGAGAGAGAGAGAGAGAGGTAAAGGGAGAGTGCACAAGTAGAGGGGTGGGGGAGAGGGAGAGGGAAAAGCAGGCTCCTCACTGAGCAGGGAGTCTGACACAGGGCTCAATCCCAGGACTCTAGGATCAAGACCTAAGCTGAAGGCAGACGCTTAAATGAGTGAACCACCAGGAGCCCCTATAGCATTTTGTTTTAAATACATTTTTTAAAAATTATACATAGAAATTAACAAATGAACAACTCTTATTGTAATCGTTATCAATCAAAAAGTAGATTTTCAGTTAATTTATGTCAAGCACTATGCTGAGCACGGCGAGGAACAGTCCGGTGAGCTGGGTTGACCCCCCCATTCTAGGTTAGAACCTCCAATCTGGCTGGGATTGCAGCACCCAGCTGAGAACTGTAATAACCAGAGGTAAGTGCCCCGAGCGGGAAAGAGAGAATAAGGAGACGCCACAACTGCTTGGGGAGACTTTCTAAGGCTTCCACACAAAGGTGGCAACTGAAGTGGGCCTGAAGACCAGAGTAGAAGCTTAAGAAGTACAAAACATGACAGGATGCCTAGCTAACAAAATATGGGATCAGCAAAGACCCCGGGGTGGCGGGGGGATCTGCATGACTGGACCCATCACAGGCAGAGACCAGAAAATGCAGAATCAGACAAGCCAGGGAAAGAAGCGTGAAAACAGGCACGGATGGTCAGCACAGAGGTATGGCTCACACACTGAGAAAAGAACATCAGATTTCTCTTCCTTGTGACTTTCAAGACAGCAATGTTCATGGAATCGGGCAGGGGCCAGAAACCAGATTTAAGGGGCACCTGGGTGGCTCAGTCGGTTGAGCCTCCAACTCTTGATTTCAGCTCAGGCTATGATCTGAGTCGTGGGATCCGGCCCTGTGCCCAGCTCTCTGCTTAGCAGGGAATCTGCTTGGGATTCTCTCTCTCCCTCTGCCCCTACCCCCTCTAAAATAAATAAATCTTAAAAAAAAAAGATAAGAAAGAAAGAAGAAAGAAAGAAAGAAAGAAAGAAAGAAAGAAAGAAAGAAAGAAAGAAAGAAAGAAAAAAGAGGAACCAGATTTCATGGTGCATGGGTCATAAAGAAGAAAGTGGGGGTGGGGAGGCACAGTTGACAACCCCTTCAAGACATTTGTGCTCAACACACAAAAAAAGCACAGGATGATAACTGATGGGCTTGGCAATATCAGGATGAATTTCCAGGCAGGGGGAAGCCTCGGTATATTTCTAGAAAAAAGGAGAAAGAAAGAACTAGTGGAACAGAAAAAAATATAGACAAACCAGACAAGGAACAGGTATTTCCCTTCAGGTATAAAGTTCCAGAAAAGGCAAAAAGAAAGAGGTTGAAACATAAAAGACATGATCAGATCAGCAAAGGAGATGAGACTCTAAGAGCTGCTTTTCTTGAACTAACAAGAATCCCTGGTGCGTTTTGGAAGAGGCCTGCAGGTGACCGTGGACACAAATGACACACATCATTCCCCCAACCACACCTCTTCCAGGCACTGGTCCCTTGGGGCATGAAACAATACTTGAAAACCACTGCTTTACCCTAAATGATTTAGTTAGGAGGAGAGCTTATACACAAACCCCCCCACTTTTTTTTAATAAATGAAAAAAGAAAAAGACCTAAAGAATGAAGTTCTCCATAAAATAAAAATTAAGACCATCTGGCCACATGATTTCACCACATCAAGATTTCAAACCAGCCACTTTGGGAAACAGCCTGGCAGTTTGTCAAAAAGTTTAATGCAGCATTCCCGTATGACCCAGCCATCCCACTTTTAGGTATACACCCAAGGTAACTGAAAACATACGTGCACACAAGAACCTGTACACAGACGTTCACAGCCAAAAAGGGGAAACGACCCAAGCCGTCCATCCGTTGGTGGATGGATAAATAACATGCAGCGAAGCCAAACAGAAGAACACTATTCAACCTTAAAAAGGAATGCAGCGCTAATAAATGCTAAAATGCGGATGAAACTCAAAAACACAATGCTGAGTGAAAGAAGCCAGGTGCCAAGGCCGCATCGTGTATGATTCCATTTATACACAACGTCCAGATTAGGCAAATCCAGGAAGATAAGAGAGCAGGTCAGTGGTTGCAGGGGATGGGGTGGGGGCAAGGCAGGGAGAGTGGCCAGGGATTGCTAATGGGTGTGGGGTTTCTTTTGGGATTGATGAAAATGTCCTAGATTAGATAGTGCCGATGACTGCACAACGGTGTCAATATACGAAACACCACTGAACCTCCCACTTTAGAATAAATAAACAAAAAGTTTCCAACTAGACCTGCTGATGACTTGAGTAAGAAGGAAGATACAGGAACCCATACACACGCCTAACCCTGCTTCTTCCCAAATCTGTGTTGCCTTGAAATGAGGCCAGAGCTGACATGAAACCACAGAAGCCCAGTCCACTCCTGGTCACATGCTCAGAGGAATAACAACGATGAGTGACTGTAACTAGAATTTACAGGGCGCTTACTGTGTGTCAGACGCTCGACTAACCACTGTACGCGGCTTAGCTCATTTCATTTCTCGCTGCAACCCTTTGAGGTACACACTGTTATCCTCCCCATTTTACAGATGAGGAAATTAAGGCACAAATAAGTTTCCTAATTAGTGCCCGGTCACCCAGTTGGGATCTTCAACCCCAGGCAATCTGACTCACGAACACCATGCCATTCCGTCCCCGAACGACTCTGTCTTCTTAAGATCCCTTGCAAAATTCATCGACTTAACGATGTAAACCGGGGCAGGTCAAGAGTTTAAAATAACCAACACTATTAACTCAAATAGCCATCTGGGGATGGAAAATTGGAAAGACCCAAGGCACCAAGGATGAGTGCTGTTATTTCTCGTTACAGTGAATGTTGACAAGCTGCACGTACAATCGAGCATGAAATTCTAGATTGCTGCCTACTTCTTTTAAGATTTGGAGTGGTTTACTAGACACCCCCCTGCCCATAGTACCCTCATAATCTAGGTTTCTGGCTGAAACCGTCAGCAAGAGTGTGTACAATTGTTTCTATAGATAAGACGAACATGACACGTAAATTCACATACGTGTGCGCTCACTGCACAGGCAGATGGTCAATTTGAAATCCTAAATCCTAGGAGTGGGGGATGAATAAGCACAAAGCAATCCAAGAGAACTGCCGGGGTGGGGAGAGGCTTGGGAACCAGCAATTAGGAGGGGGCAGGAAGGATAAAGGTCACTCCTTGAGGCGAGCTTGGGGGGAATCAGAAGGTTGGATCGTTCCCAGAGCTGCCAGGATGCCTGTCTGATTAAATCAACGAGCAAGGAGTGTTTCATATGCTGGAAAATGCCAGCGGACAGGCAGTGAGGGGTGACGTAAGGCCTCAAAAGTCAAGGGAAGTGTTGGGACTTGACAGAGGAGGAAAAGGTAAATTATGCTTTTGAGAAGTTGTGAAAGGCTCCTCGGGGCAGCCGCATGTTTCACAAGCAACCCCGGCTTCGGGCCTCATGCACTGCTCCCTAGTTTCATTTTAAATCCAGGGCTTGTGTCCTGGAACCTCCACGGGGGTCCTCACGACGGCGACAGCCCCCAGCTGGGGGGGGGGGGTGGCCCGGCCGGAGCCGAGCAGGCGCGAACCTTGCAGCCTGCGCTCCCTGAGCGAGCCCGCCGGGTCGGCCGGGACAGGCTGCGCCCTCAAGATGCGCGCGGTTGTGGGGTGCTTTCTTTTTTTTTCTTTTTAATGTGAAAAATATTTCCAGGGCTCGGTCACCTAAGTCGCCTTTTCTTTGGTCACAGCACGCAATGCGGAGCGTCCAACTTTCTGCTGGGGCGAAGCAGAAACGCACGGTCGCCCGCGTCACCGAAATCCACCTGGTGAATCCACGGCGACCACGCGTCACCCAGTGGGACCCGCCGCGACCTCCCCCCTCCACCCCCCGCGGCCCGCGCCCCTCCCAGGTCCCTCCCCGCGGGCGCAGGTGCGACCCGAGGCCCCGGGGCTGCAGGGCGGGCTCCGGGGGGGGGGGTGCGGGGGCCCGGCGCCCCGGGGCGCGCTCACCGGACCAGGGGCTCCTTCTCCGGCGCGCCGGGCTCCTCCAGGCACCTGCACGGGCAGCAGCAGCACACGGTCCTCAGCCAGCCCCGCGGCCCCATGCGCGGCGACGAGCCCCGCGGGCGGAGCGGCCGGAGCGGGGCGGCGTGCAGGTGCGGGGCGGCGTGCAGGTGCAGGGCGGCGTCCAGGTGCGGGGCAGCGTCCAGGTGCGGGGCGGCGTGCAGGTGCGGGGCCGGCTCCGAGCGCATCACGCCGCGGCGGGGACGCGGGCGAGGCCGGGACGTCCCCTCGGCCAGAGCTGCGCGGCCGCGCGCCTCCCGCCCCCGGGCCTCGTTAGGGCCGCGTCTCCCCGGGTCTTTAACTCCCCGGACGCAGGTGCGGGGGGGGGGCGGGGGGGCGGCGTCCCGCGCCGCGCGGCTGCTGCCCTAAGGAGGAAGCGGGCACTGCAGGCGGCGGGCACCTCGGCCGGGCGGCCCGGGGGGCGGGGGGGGGTCACGCAGCACGAGGCTGGGCCGCATCCATTCATACGTTTTATTGGCTTGGCTCCCCGGGAAGGAAAGGCCCTAAGGCCCTCCTCCCACCCCGCCCCCAGCGCCGTGGAGGCCGTTCTTTCCTTCTCCACCGGGCCAGCCCCGCGGGGTAAAAGCAGGACGGCACCGAGGGCTTGCTTTCCTTTCACAGTTTTTTTATTATTATTATTATTTTTTAAGTCCTCTCCACGCCAACCGGGGGCCCAAACCCAAACCCGGATCGAGAGGCCCACGCTCCGCCGGCTGAGCCAGCCAGACGCCCCCAGAAGCGGGTTTTTTCCAAGTACTATATTCACCATGGTTTTTTTTTTTTTTTTCTTTTCTTTTCTTTTTTTAGTCGTTTTCAAACCCCCGAGCCCTTAAATAACTCCCTCGGAGGGACGCCTGGGTGGCTCTGTGGTTGAGCATCTGCCTCTGGCTCAGGGCGTGACCCCGGGGTCTCAGGATCAAGTCCCGCATGAGGCTCCCCACAGGGAGCCTGCGTCTCCCCCTGCCTGTGTCTCGGCCTCTCTCTGTGTGTCTCTCGGGAATAAATAAACAAAATCTTAAGAAAAAAAAAAAATAGACCCCTCAGAACAGGCCACCTTTAGCATTAGTTTCTTGCCATTATCCAGGGCTATTTAGGTACTCATGTATATATGTATGCTTGTAGAACTTGGAAGTACTGGGCTTACATCCCCCCCCCTTTTTTTTCCAAACAGTGGTGCACTGCACACATTTGCACCCTGGCTTGTTCCACTCAGTAGATCCTGGAGACTGTCCCACAGCAATAAGTGGGTATCTTCCTCTGTCATTTCAAGTTTTCTATTATGCAGTCATACGGATGCCCATATGTTATTCCATCAGACCCCCCCATCTACCGACATTTCAGTTCATTCTGGCCTTTTGTCATTAAAATAATGCAGCAATGAGCATCCTTGAATCATGTGTTTGGACATGTACATCTATTGAGTAAATGCTTGGCAGCTAAATGCTGGGTCTTGGTAAGATGCCTTTTTAAATTTTAATGCATCTTGCCAGTTTGCTCTCTGGGGAGGCGATTGCAATTTGTACTCTGACCAGCAACATATGAAAGTAGCTATTTCCCTATCCCCCCACCAATCGGTACCATCTAATTTTTCATCTTTGCCAAACTGATTTATTCAACAAATACTTAATAAGCATCTGTTATGTGCCAGATTTGTGCTAGGCTCTGGGGGAAACAGCGGTGAACAAGAGAAACAAAAATCCCTATTCATTTGGGGCAAACATTCTAGGAGAGTTAGACAAGCAAACCAAGTGTGTTCTTTAGTGTGTTAGACGGTAATGCAGGCTATGGAGAAAAATAAGGCAGGGAAGGAGACAAGAAGTGCCAGAGAGGGGTGTGTGTGTGTGTCTGTGTGTGTGCGCATGTGAGTGTGTCCTGGGGAGAGGGATGGTGCCTACACTTAAATGGAGTGGTCACAGGAAGCCTCCTAATATTGTGACATTTAAGCCAATACTTGAAGGAGATGAGCAAGCTTAGCTATGATATCGCGAGGGAAGAGCATTTCAGGGAGAGTGAGACTGTGCAAAATCCCATGAAAAGGAGAATTCTAGGGACTCTGGAGAGAAAGGGGGCCAGGAGAAAGTAATAGGAAATGATGGAACGTGAGACCTGGTAGGACTTTGCAAGGATGCTGGACTTTGCTCTGAGTTAAGCTCAGATTTGGAAGTTTTTGAGTGGAGGGAGCGATGTGATCTATCTAGATGGCAAAGGGCTCCATTAGCTGCTATCTTGAGAAGAAACTGAGTGCAGAGGCTGTTCAAGGGATGCGAACAGAGGCTATTCTAAAGATTCAGGGGACAGACCAGGGAGGTCGCGGTAGAGGTGGTATGGACTCTGGATGGAATTCGAAGATAGAACCAACGAGATTTGCCAAAGGATTGGAAATAGGGTGTGAAAAAAAAGGAAGGAGTGACTCTAAGGTTTCAGGTTGACAAGCTACGAAGGTTCACTTGCCATTGATGGAGATAGAGAGGAGTGTGGGGGGAGCAGGTTTGCAGGGGTGAGGAGGAAGAGCAAGAGTTTATTTTCTCAAGTGTCCATTCTCATGGGCATTCATTTTTTTTTAGATTTTATTTATTCATGAGAGACACAAAGAGAGAGAGAGAGGAGAGAGAGAGGCAAAGACACAGGCAGAGGGAGAAGCCAGCTCCCTGCAGGGAGCCCGATGCAGGACTCGATCCCGGGTCTCCAGGATCATGCCCTGGGCTGAAGTTGGCACGAAACCGCTGAGCCACCTAGACTGCCCGAAGTATATTAATTTTTTAAATGTGTTGCGACACCTAAGTGTGTCCTATTCTGGCTACGTTATGAAGCTGAAGGAACTTATCAGTACGTGCTCATTGACAGGCTGGCTATGGAAGGATAGAGAGTAAGAGGAGCTTCCTAACACCTTGACTTAGTTGGAGAGATGGGATAAAGACCCATGATGAAAAGCCAACATTACAGGGTACCAGCTGTTGCCAGGCAGCACAGGGCTGTGGGCTCAATCCCAGCTCCACATCATTTATCACTTGCAACCATGGCAAGATGGAGGCTAAATGTTGTTCTTTTTTTTAATATTTTATTTATTTATTCATTAGAGACAGAGAGAGAGAGAGAGAGAGAGGTGGAGACACAGGCAGAAGGACAAGCAGGCTCCATGCAGGGAGCCTGTTGTGGGACTCCATCCTGGGTCTCCAGGATCATACCCTGGGCCAAAGGCAGGTGCCAAACCGCTGAGCCATCCGGGGATCCCTCTTTTTTTTTTTTTTTTAAGATTTTATTTTTTTATTCATGAGGACACTGAGAGAGGCAGTGACATGGGCAGAGGGAGAAGCAGGCTCCCTATGGGGAGCCTGATGAACTCCATCCCAGGACCCCGGGATCACAACCTGAGCTGAAGGCAGATGCTCAACCGCTGAGCCACCCAGGCGTCCCTAAGTGTTGCTCTTGACAGTAAACTTGCCCCGGCTGGAAAACCCCTCAGGAGAATGCGCTAGTTCCTAAAATTGGATTTTGAATGTGAGTCAATCCACCTAGGTTAAGTAGAAAGTGGGTAAAGAGGGCTGCCAAGATGTGAACTCAGCCAGCAAGATGATGCAGGCTAGGGCCTGGCCGCTACTGTTAACAACTGGAGTTGGATTTATTGAGTCGATAAATCAGAGAAGGTTTTCAGCCCTTGGAAACTGTAGGTGCTCTGCTCCTTTGCTGGTTTTGCTCTTAGACAAGTCACTAAATCTTTCTGAACCTCGATTTTCTTGTCTGTGAAATGGAGATGATGAACCGGGCCCAGCTTAACTTGACACAGTCCTGAGATTCAAATGAGATAGTTTGAAAACCATAAAGTTCCTGAGAAATGTCAAAGTTCAACACTATTGATCAAATCCAGTATAGGCCTGTGGGGCGAATGTCGGTTCCAATACTACTTGGCTTACTCATGACAGTATTTCTTTCCACGTTTGTACCTCTGCAGTGTGTGGGCATCTTTTATGTGGTCTGTTTCAGATGAGACATTTCTAGAAAACCATGGAACCGCATCTACTTAACGTCATCAGGAAGTTAATCCCCTGACTTACCAAGAATCACGTATACTGTTTGCCTGCTCTAACAATTATTAATATTTTTCTTTTAAAATTAATTTTAGGGATGCCTGGGTGGCTCAGTGGTTGAACGTCTGCCTTTGGCTCAGGGCATGATCCCAGGGTCCTGGGATCGAGACCCACATCGGGGACCTTTGCCTGTCTCTCCACCTGTCCCCGTGCCTCTCATGAATAAATAAATAAAAATCTTTAAAACTATTTTAAAATTTTTAAATTTAATTTAATTAATTTTAGGTTTTAAAACTTATAAATGAAATGTTCCCCTAAAAAAGTTGAAACAGTACAGCTGGTTTCTTCTGACCACGACCCACACTCCTGTTCATTTTCTCCCCTCTCCAGAATAAGCTGGTTATCACTACAATTCCAACCTTTTCCAGACACACATGCACCTGTGGGCCTGTGAGATGTTCATAGAGCATTGTCATGTGTGTCGTTATTTTTGGCAGTGTTTTGTGTTAGTATAAAAGGTGCATGTGAAGCTGCCAACCTTCTCCACCTAATAATCTGTCTTGGATGTCTCTCTTTATTAGCACATGTTAGACTACCTCATTCATTTAACTGCTATGAGTATTCTGTTTATCAGCTTTCCAAGGGTTGTTAGATCTGTGTCTCTGCTTGGCTCGTCTTCCCAGAAGTTAAATACCCTCCTGATTTCCTTGGCTTGTTTTTTGTTTTTTTTTTTTTTTGGGGGGGGGGTTAATTGCACCTTGGATGGGAATAACAATGTTACCCAGCCCTCCAGCCGTAGCTGCCAGGTAGCTGAGACCACGTTTTTGGTGAGCCTATTTCCTGTTCCAGACCCCACTTGCAGGAGAGCAACGTCGTTCCTTTTTTTAGAGTGATGCTAGATTGTTCCTACTACCCAGGTTGATGCCAGCACCATCCACCGCAGAAGGTGACAATGACATTAACCAACAACCCCTGGGCACCCGATGTTGGGGGAGTAAGCAGCCCCCCGGGGCAGGTGGTGACTCACAGACCCATCAGCCGCTTGTTTTCAGGGCAGCACTGCTGGCCCATGTTGGCAGATTTCTCCAGGGCAGGAGAGACCCTAGAGCCTGCTTTGAAAACAGCTAGTATGGTCTAAGAATTTATTGATGACTTGTGAGAGTTGGAGGAAAAGACAGACACAGGGCAGGAAAAATTAGGAAATCAAATCCCTGAGCTCCCAACAGCACATCAGGCGTGCACTCCGCAGGAAGCTCTGCTTGCAGCAACATAGTTTAAGCCACTGTCGTTCATATATTCATTCAACAGATATTTATCGAGTCAGGCCCTGAGGAGCCCATGGTGAACTAGAATGTGGACTCCATCCATGTAAACAAGGACTTCGTTTTGTTCTCACAGTATCCCCAGCACTTGGAACAGTGTGGGGTAGGGACTCACTAAACAGAAGGGTGTTCGGCATCACAGCACCTAGAACAGTGCAGGCACGTGGTAAACACTTAAGAAAATGTATTGAGAAAAAAAATTTAAAAAAAAAAAGAAATTGTGTTGAAGAAATGTGTGAAAACAGGGGCACCTGGGTGGCTCAGTCGGTCAAGCATCTGCCTTCAGCTCAGGTCATGATCCCAGGGTCCTGGGTTCGAGCCCCACATCAGGCTCCCCGCTCAGTGGGGAGCCTGCTTCTCCCTCTCCCTCTGCTGCTCTACCTGCTTGTTCTCTCCCTCTCTGTCAAATAAATAAATAAAAATCTTTAAAAAGAAAACAAAAAGAAATGTATGTCAACAGAAAAGGAGCTATTTCGTGAACGCAGGGTTTGCATGAAGTTATGTTTAATTTCTGAAGAGCTACTCGAATCCAGTAGAGAGCTAGAGGACACTCTTCCTTATAGGAAACAGATTATCTTCTGAAACAAGCCAGTATCCCGAGCCGACCTGAGCATCATCACTCACCCTAAGTGGCCCAAGGTGGACAGCTAACATGCCTCCTGATTCTGGAGAGGTCACATCAGGGAGTGAAATGACTGGATGTCAGCAAGGTAAAAGCCAGCCAAGGGTCCCCTTTGGGTCTCTGGTCTCTGCCTCTGCAGTATGCCTCACGTCTCCTTCCGGTAACTTTGTTTTCCTTTGAGGAACACCCTCCTCCAGTCCCATGGGTGGGGGATGACGATGAATGTACTCCCCCCATCCCTCAGACCCTGACCTCCAATGAGGGATGGGCATGAGACCAAGACGGGCCTAGGAGACACTCTTCCTGAAATTTGCATCTGAAGGATAAGGAGCCAAAGATGAAAGCATGGCTGGAATTGAGACATGAACTATTTTCAAAACAGCATTCTCAAGAAAAGGCCCAACAGCAGTTGCTATCTAGATGTCTGGAGCTTTCCCGTTCCTGTATTTTCCAAAACCCAGTTGTTCTGTTTAGCTTGCCCATCATTCTGTGGGTTACTCCACCACTTGTTGAATCAATAATTTTTTCTTATTTATTTATTTATTTATTTATTTATTTATTTATTTATTTATTTATTTTGCTTAAAGTTAACAAGGGTCAGATTCTGTTGCTTTCAGAGCTCAACCCATACAGTCCCACTGAGGAGGGTTAAGAAAGAAGAAAAGGGATGATTGTGCTCAGAGAGAAAATCATTTAAGAACAACTGTTATGGAGGCTGTACAGAACAGTTCAAAGTTGGATGAAGTCAGGTGAGATTTTTGTCTGTTTCTTTGCTTGATTCCTCCTTCTTGAAGAGAAATTGATAAGATCCGCCATCTGAGAATCCGTCAGTCTTTTCACTCCATGGTTTTCCATAATGCAAAATACTTTCCATATTTTCACACTCTTTTTATTTGGTACAGTCTGTGGATCGATTTCACCTCCTTCCCTCCCCCAAAATGTGTACTCAGAAAACTTTAATAATCAGTCTTTGCTCCGAGGGGACACCTGGGTGGCTCGGCAGTTAAGCATCTGCCTTCAGCTCAGGGCGTGATCCCAGGGGGTTGGGATCAAATCCCCCAGCGGGCTCCCCACAGGGAGCCTGCTTTTCCCTTTGCCTGTGTCACTGCCTCTCTCTCTGTGTCTCTCATGAATAAATAAATAAATAATCTTAAAAAAATTATCAGTCTTTCCTCCTTCAGTTTCAAGAATAAATATCTTGGCCCTCCTCAAAATTTAGTAGAGACTTTTTTATTTATTTGAGAGAAAGAGAGAGAGTGAGAAGACTTCAAGGGCAGAGGGAGAAGCAGATTCTCTGTTGAGCAGGGAGCCTGATGCAGGACTCGATCCCAGGACCCCGGGATCATGACCCGAGCCGAAGGCAGACACCCAACTGTCTGAGCCACCCAGGCACCCAGTAGAGAGGCTTGTAAGCTTCAGACTCAGGAATAAGTGTGACCTGCACTCAGTAATGGCAGTTGCTGATGCTCTGGCTCACACATGCTTGTGTGTGTCCAAGGGGCTTGTGCCATCCAGGATGGACAGAAAGGATCCCACCAAAAAAGAGCAAGTCCGTGGTTCTGTCAAGGTCAATGCCCAGCAACTCGGACTACAGGAGCTTTCTGCAGGAGGGACTTCAGAATCCCACCCCACCCCCTGAAAATTCGGAGGAGTATTTGATGAGTTCAGCAACATGTACTCCCAAACCAAAGAGGAAGAGAGGAACTATTGTGCTGTATGTGAAGGAACTCTCTCTAGGCTGCGGTGATCCTAAACCCCTGCAATAGAAGAATCCCTGGCGATGCTTATTGAAACTCCAGATTCCTAGGCCCTGCCCGATTCCTTCTGAATGGTAAGCTCTGAGGTGGGGACCCAGACTCTATTTTACCGGGCTCCCCAGCACGGATGGTACTAGGCGGAGGCTAATGAGGTGCTTATGGCACGACCCTGAACTCGTACAAACAACCCAGAGGGTGAGCATGGCCCCTGTGTTGCGCCCCGTGCCCCTCACTTCCCGGACCCTAGGCCCGCCCCTACTTCCAAGACTTTGGAATTCTGAGGCACATTGGTGACACGTTGAACTGTGTCACTTCCAAAATTCCTGTGTCGGAGTCCTGATCTCTCATACCTCAGAACGTGACTGTATTTCAAGACAGAGCCTTTAAAGGGGTAATTAAGGTTCAATGAGGTCATTAATCCAACATGACTGGCCTCCTTATAAGAGGAGATTGGGGGATGCCTGGGTGGCTCAGCGGTTGAGCGTCTGCCTTTGGCTCAGGTGATGATCCTGGGGCCCAGGATCGAGTCCCACATCAGGCTCCCTGCATGGAGCCTGCTTCTCCCTCTGCCTGTGTCTCTGCCTCTCTTTCTCTCTCTGTCTCTTATGAATAAATAAATAAAATCTTTAATAAAAAAAAAAAGAAGAAATTGGGATACAGACATGGAGGGAAGACCAGGTGAAGACAAAGAAAGAGGACCACATCTACAAGCCCAGGGGAAGCCTCAGACTGAAAGCAGCCCTGCCGATACCTTGATCTCACAGCTTCCAGAACCGTGAGAAAGTAGAAAGTTGCTTAACTCAACCAAGTGTATGGTATTCGTCAGGGCAGCTCCTGCAAACTGACACAGAGAGGACATTCGAGAACCACTGGCGAGGCAGTTAAGGGCATCTGGGCTCTGGCATCACAATGCCCCCATGTGGCTGCATTCGGGATGAGGTGAAATAATACCCAGTACAGTGTCACAGGAAAATAGGAAGCACTCGGCAAACGTTAGCTACAATTACTGTTGTTAATAAAATATATGAGCTTTAACCAGATTCTGCGCCATCTCCTTACATAGCCAAAGTATTTAATCTCACAAATATGTACTGAATGCCAACTTTATAAGCATGGCGCCGGGCCAAGCCTCTTGTGGAGTGCAAAGATGAGAAATAAGCAGTGCTCATCCTCAGAATATTACGCAGAGCAAATCCACCCAGAACAAAATTTGCAAAATTATGACACTGACATCTTCCATATTCACCTGTGCCCCAAGGTGCTCAACCTTTTGATTCCGACAGTGTGTCCCTTCCTTCCCTCATCCCCATCTTTTCCATGTTCAGCTATCTTTTTTTTTTTTAAGATTTTATTTATTTATTCATGAGGGACACACACAGAGAGAGAGGCAGAGACACAGGCAGAGGGAGAAGCAGGCTCCATGCAGGGAGCCGGACGTGGGACTCGATCTAAGGTCTCCAGGGTCAGGCCCTGGGCTGGAGGCAGCACTAAACCACTGAGCCACCCGGGCTGCCCCATGTTCAACTATCTTAACCAGACTCCCCGAGC